CTCCTCCACACTATAGCAATCTACTTAGCTTGTCCCAGTCATGCGAGCAATCAGTGGGTTTGTTTCTTACTTGATGATAATTTGAAAACCCAGGACACTGATCGAAATGCGTCTGCTTAGGTACTATGTCCGTTTTATCGCATTCTATCCCCTTAATATGATACTTAACAACAGATCTTCGTGCCATGACGATGGACCGGAACGAGGAGAAACAACATTCAAGTGGCTAGAGTTCGGATTGAGCTTATAAAGAACTAGAGTCATGGACAGCAAAGTGCGACCGCCATGGGAATTGCGTTGAAAAAACCCAAGGCATGCGACTACATCTCTCCGACGATCGCGATATCCTCACATCCTCACCCCCATCTACCAAGGGCTTCCTATAAAGTACCGTGACCCCTACACATCCTTCGCACGATTGGTCAATTGCACAGTAAGCTATTACTACTAGTGATACTTGTGAATGGGGATCGGCGACGCGAACAAATGGCGGTACGAAGCACGGCCACCAATGGCTGATTAGCAACCTGCAGCTGCAGAGACAAGTCACTCGGCATTGTATCCCCGCTCGCCCTCGATAAGACACGATCCACTTGCATAAACGAGGGGTAACACCTCCCCCAACCCATCTTCGACTCAATTCTTTCAGTATTATCCTTCTCCGACCGATAGAAGTCTTGCTAACCTAGTGACATCCACCATGGCTCCCGCCCTGCCCGAATTGATGCTCAGCATCGAGGACATCAAGAACGCCGGATCGAAGAAACTCCCTCTTAAAGCGCGAGGTCCGCATTCACTATCTATCCAGATCCTACAATCCACTAACAATACCTCAGAATTCTACAACTCCGGCTCAACCACCCAAATCACCGTTACAGAGAACTCAACCGCCTACAAGAAATACCGACTACGCCCACGAGTCCTCGTCGATGTCTCCCAATTAGACCTACGACTCAGCCTCTTCAACCAAACCTTCGACTTCCCACTCGGCCTCTCCCCAACCGGCATTCAAGCAATGGCACACCCACAAGGTGAACTAGCCAGCAGCCGAGCTAGCGCCCGCCGCAACATCCCCATGGCCGTGTCCTCATTCAGCACATACCCAGTCGAAGACGTCGTCCAAGCAGGCCGACAACTCAACCCTTCAGCGACACACACCATGCAACTATACACTCTTCGCGACCGCGCCCTGCAAACGCAAATCATCCGTCGCGCCGAAGCATCAGGCTGCAAAGCCATCTTCCTCACAGCCGACAGCCCCGTCCTGGGATACCGCTACAACGAAACCCGCAACGATTTCCGCACACCTGAGGGCCTCTCCTGGCCCATGATGGGCGTAACCTCCGACCAACTGCAACAGGTCACACACGACGCAGGCTTCGTCGCAACAAACTCAGACGCACACAGCTGGGCCAAAGAGATCCCGTGGCTGCGGTCCGTCACGAAAATGCAGATCTGGATCAAAGGCGTCCTAACAGCCGAGGACGTCCTCCTTGCCAGAGAATACGGCTGTGACGGGGTAATCGTGAGCAATCACGGCGGAAGACAATTAGACGAAGTCGTACCAACCATCGACGCACTGCCAGAATGCGTAGAAGCCGCAGCAGGGAAGATACGCGTCCATATCGACGGGGGTATCCGGACAGGAACAGATATCTTCAAAGCATTGGCATTGGGGGCTGAATGCTGTTGGATTGGGAGGCCGACGATCTGGGGTTTAGCTGTATGTTTCTTACCGTTACTTACCCACACGAAAGGAAGAGTGGCAGTATGCTAACTACCTGGCAACAGTATGACGGAGAAAACGGTGTCTCTCGCGTCCTGGATATTCTCTACGAAGAGTTCAAACGCTGCATGCAATTGACGGGGTGTCGTACCTTGGCGGATGTCACGCCCGCCGCGTTGGCGGTTCTTCGGACGGATGGACCGGCAGCGAAGTTGTAGGTAAAATATACTTACTATATAGACAGGATAGAATAAGTAGACAGTATGCGGTTAGACTATGATGTGAAATACTATAAAACATATACCATGGTACTCAGTAACCAGACGGAGCGGAGGCACGAACCAGTTACATACTGAATTTACTATCCAAGAATCAAAGCCTATATACGAGTCGGAAACCATATCCAACAATCTTGGACTCACAATCACGCAGGCAACACACCCTGCGGGTTATGAAACAAATCCGACGGATCATACAACGACTTAATCTGCATTAATCTCGGCAAATTCGACCCCCAGTACGCCTCGCGGGCATTCTGAAGCCGGGGATCCACATAACCGGGGTACACCCCATTACCCAAACCAGGGGTATTATTACGAATGATCTCGTTGACACGGTCCAGGAAGTCATACGTCGTCTGGGACACTGATCCCAGAGTGATGGCGTATGACTGCAGCCAGAACAGCGTGTCGCGGTGGGCATAGCCCGTTGCGTCCATTGGGACGTCGTTAATAGCACCGCCTTCGAGATCGAAGATGACGAACCAGAGTAATGCCCCGGTGTCTGCGCTGTCGAGGTACTCGAAGAGTTGGTCGACGCCGGTGGACGGGATGGGGGTCTTCTCGGTGAAGGAGAGACAGCGGGAGTAGAAGTCCGCGGGAATGCCGCCCGTTAGGTCGAGGATGGACTGCTCGGCCCATTGGGCTACGAGGCCTAACCAGTCGGTGAAGACGATGACGGTGGAGTTGGTGTGGCCGGGGAATTGGTCTTCTAGACCGAGAGCGTCGTATTCGGCTTTGGTGCCGAAGAAGGTGCCGGAGATGACCAGGACGTGGTCGAGGATGGTGCAGATGCTGGCGAATTTGCGGGTGAGGTCTGGTTGGGAGATGAAGCTCTGCCATTTTTTGAATAGGTTGGCGCGCGATGAGGTGCTTCCGAGTCCGAAGGTGAAGGAGTATTGGACTGCGGAGCCGGGTTCGGGTTCGGTGCGGAAGACAAACTCGGTGACGACGCCGAAGCTGGCGCCGGCGCCTTTGATGGCGAATAGTAGGTCTGAGTTCTGCGTAGAGGAGGCGCGCACGACGGTGCCATTGGCGAGAACAACTTCGGCTTCCAGGACGTGGTCGAGTTCCATGCCGTATTGACGCGCCGCGGGGCCCAATCCACCGATTGTTGCGTGCCCTCCGACGCCGATCTGTGGGGAGGTGCCGTGCGCGATGGCCCGTCCACCGGCGTTGTGGAGGTAGTCGTCGAGTTCGCCGTTGAGCATACCGGCGCCCACGGTGGCTTGGTAGTTGGTGTAGTTCATGGAGAAGGATTTCATGTTCTTGAGGTTGATGCTGATGGCGCCATTGGTGCCGCCGAGGCCTAGAATGATGTGAGGTTAATAGGGTGAGCGGCGGACGAGCGAGTCGAGTGAATAGGTACCGTAATTGCCATAGCTGTGGCCACCGCTCTTGGCCTGTACTTTGTAGCCCAGCGACGCGGCGCAATTGACGATGGAGGCGACTTGCTGAGTGAACTTGGGGAATGCCACTGCTGCCGGCGTAACGGGCCAGTTCAGGTTGTAGACCTGGACGGCGAGCGTTTGATAAAGGAGGTCGCCATCAACGGCGACGAGGGTCGGGTCATTCTGCACCGCGGTGAGAAGGCATTGACGAAGAGTGGAGGTCGAGGCTGCTGTCGACAGTTGCAGGACCAGGAGGAGGAAGAAAGGAACACGAAGGAAGGAGAAGACCATTGTGGACAGCATTCCGCGAGGATGCGCCTTGGGGTAGCTAGGGAGGGCCGCAACTCTGCAGTGACAGACTGCAATGCGTCCGCCCTGGGACAGCAGAAATAAATATGGACCGAACTGAGAAGGTCAGGAGGGTCCGGCAGAGTGGAATGTCAGGCGGGGGCTTCATCATGCCAATGGAGCATGGATGCGCGGACGAGTGCCTGAAAGGTAGACCCAATCAGACGGGTCGACAAGAATAACCCCCGAAGCCATTGTATTACATGGCTGTAACCCCCTCTCTCAGCTGAACAAGTGAACTAATCGGAGATTATACATGGCTATCAATCGGGACAGGGGTACCCTTGGTTGAGGATGGATGTGATCGGAAGAGGGACGCATCTCAGCTGCACAGATGCAGAGCCCGATCAATTCCAAATGCCTTTCTGCCAATCAGACAAGACGGTACCAGAGGAGGATGACCAGAGGAGGAGAAAACTCAACCCGGCTGAGCAGCTGAGGCCACTACCCGTAGAGTCTAAACTCATGGCCTTGTACAAAGATGCAGCAATACTAGCCCGCTAGCCACTTAGCAGTTGCATCACCCGGACCAAGTGCTGACAGCTAGGCCGATATAGGCAGGTGATTGCCAGGGGAGAAAAATTGGACACATAAAATCATGTCAGGAGGGCTGCGCATCAAGAGGACCTTCAGGAACCAATGCGGGGAACGAGATGCCAGATAATTGGACATCAGTGCGCAAGGCACCTGCAAGACTAGATTGCAGTCGCGCTTTAGGCTGTAGGACTGAGAGAAGATAGACTAGTGCTGGTCAGTGCCAGTGGTGTCCGGATCGATCGTCCGCGAGACCCCGAGGCTAGTGGTGGCGCCGATAGTGGGCGCCAACTAAAGCTTGCAGGGAAGTTGAAAAGGGGCGGGCCAGGGAGAAGAAGATGGATCAAGGGAGCGGATTCCGCGGCATGGGGCTAAATTGCGCTGCAGCTGAGCTATGATTGCCTCTGAGCATATCCCGGATCTTTAAGAGCATGGTTTATATGGGTGAGATGAGAGAGTATTGGAGTTGAAGAGAAACGGAAAACTAAAGTCGAAGCAGTGATTAGTTTGGCTAGAATTGAATTGGGTGGTAACTCAACACGTGGGGAAATTCGAATCCCGTGGATCGCGATTATGCGGTCGGGAGTCTCCATTGGGGTAAGCCGCCAAGGGGGAGACTTCTGCAGTACACCATCCCCTTGACGATGATACTGACGATTTACCTCTTGGTGAATGAACATATTACTTATGTAGATTAGATCTTGCACATATGTTAGAAGTATTCGATTGAGGTAACTGCAATAAACCCACTATCCCATAAGAGCATTACTCCCAAATCTGACGCCATGAATCTACAAAGTATACAACCACATCCCGATCGCCCAACCATCATTGCAAATCGACCACCTTCACCTGAGTTCGCTCAAAATGCTCCACTTCCAACATCTTAGCCGTGGCGGGCTCCAGATCTGGGCTCGGATAGAAGTCGATCTTGCCGCCCGGCTTAACTACTCCTGTCCGGTCCAGGAATGTGCGCCCGCGCACATACGGATCCAGCTGCCAGTAGTTCTGGCGCAGCGACTCGATCGTCTCGCTCCGTTGTTCTCGGGCCGTTGTGGTGGCGGCCGCGTCCTTTCGCTGGCTGGTGGAGACCCATTCCTGGGTCCGCAGCAGCAACTCCTCGCCAATCTTCAACCGCTCGGCGTAGATGCGGTCGCGCGTTTCCGTATCTGCCATCAGCTCGTTCTCACCGGCCACCGGCTCGACGTATTCATAGGTCCAGTCTTCCTTGCCCTTCAGCTCTTTCACAATCTGCTCCGGGGCAATGAACTTCTCCAGATCGGACACCTTGTTGGTAAAGTTCACCTTCGACACGATCACCGGGTCCATCCAACCCTTGATGATCTTCCAGATTCCTATCTTGCGTTAGAGAGGACAGGGTAAGAGGACTAGAAGCGCAAACATACCAGAGAAGACCCAGGGAGCGTTGTGGATGAGCATGTATCCAAGCGACTCGGGGTAGTTCTCCTGGAAACATTCGATGATGAATTTCACTGGCGCATATTCCTGGTTATGGTCAGTTCCCCGTGCAGATATGCTTGGATTGCAGAGCAACTTACCATGTTGGAAAGGCCAAAGCCAGTCATATCGAAGATGATGGTCTGCCACATGGACGATTAGCCTGGTACAATACATGGGAGGCCATGGAATCATAAGCTGAATAGACATACCACTGTCTCCTGGGGAGGCGCCAGCAATAACCGGGCTGTCTCGATCGTATGCAGGATGAACCGATTGATCACTGCCTCGCTCTGCTTCGAAGGTTGATGGAAGCGAACGCGCACCACGAGAACAGGCCGGCCATCCCGATCGGTTCCGTGCATATAGCACTTCCCCATACGCATTTGATCCAAGAAGTCCTTGCACTCCTTGGCTGCGTGCGTATCCACCGTGTTCTGAGACGTGACTAGTGCCGCGAGTTCGGGGTTCGCGATCACCTTATCGTCGACATGCTGATCCTTGCGCCAGACAAGCGCCCTCAACATCATACCGAAGGCCTTGCTGACGTCCCACTTGCGAGCGCGCAGGAAGCGAAGCAGGAGGACGTCGGGGGAGTCATGTTTGGCAGTATACAACAGACCCGAGCGGAGTTCGTCGATCGAGGTGTTGCTCAGCGACTCCCGGACGGACTTGATGTCAGGGTTGCTCATACCATTCTCCCGAAGGACTCGGGACAAGTCTTCTGTGAAAGCCGTTTGGCCATGAGCGGAAACGACGGTGTCAGCTCGGGAGAGCGACGTGCTTGGACGTTGGTCGGACTGGGTCTGTGCCGAGGTATCTCCACCTTGGAGGGACTTCACATCTAGCAGGGTGAGGACAATGGACCAGAGCTGTTGTAATTTGGCCTCTTGATCCTGAGTCAGATTGCCGACGTGGCCGGGTTGGATGCCGTTGGTAGTCATGATGGATGAAACTGAGTGTAGAATGCAGTCGTGGAGTTTCAAATGAGACGGTGGGTTACGATCTGCTTATGTAGCATCGTGCTTGTCAGGCGACTACAGCCCGGCCAGTTGCATATGAAACTGCCCGTCTTTGAGACAAACGAGAAACCTCGGATCTCGATAGCGAGTTGCAGGCGCCTCAGGGGTTTCGCTGGCCGACCCGTGGTTCTTGCTAGGGGATCGTCGCCGATCGTCCGCTCGGACTGCGGGGAAAGGTTCTCATTTATCGGTTGGTTCGTGTTTGATGGACATCCCCCTCCCCTTTCAGGCTATTGCAATGATGAAATGTGATGTCCTGGTCATTTATAACAGCAAGGTCCTGGGTTGGGATTGGCCGGTGCGGCTTCCACTGGCAATCAAATCACTCGTTAGTCTCTCTCGACTTTTGGGAGGTTCATATAACTCAGGACCATGGACCAGGGCGGTACCTTAAATCATTTCCCATTTCAATGGCCATTCTCATTCTTCGGAGATAAACATCGCTTTTCTTAGAATTAGAGATGATCGAGGGTTACAGTCTCATGCATGGCGATGGAGCAGACGTTGCAAGGGAGAACGAGAGTTGGTGAGAAGGTTACCTCCCACCCTGTAACCCCTCACCGCTCGTCATTCTTGCGACGCAGATCGGCAACGCTCAGATCAACGCTTTCTGAGACACGAATCAAATGGCAAATGGCAGACTGGTCAATCCCACATCACGAAAACTGCCTCGGCCGATTGCCTGGTAGTGCTTCGGTAGGAGTGTTGGGCTTATCATGATGCTGCTCGGTGATACTCTTGCAGCTGATGCCTCGACCCTTCTCTGCATCGGCCTCATCACGGTGGCAATCTATCGTCTCACCCTCCATCCTTTAGCCCATGTTCCTGGACCTTGGATATTTGGCATCTCATCCATCCCTCAGTGGATCATCGTCTTCCTCGGTACTGAACCACAGACCCTTGCTTATTACCATCGCCGATACGACACTCGAGTACTGCGCATCGCCCCGAATCAGGTCTCCATCTCCGATCCCCATGCCTTGGCTACTATCTACGTGGCTAATGGGGGTTTCTTGAAAGATGCTCGGTATCGCAACTTTGATGTCAATGGGCAGCCCACCATATTTTCCGCTATTGACAAAGCCTACCGCGATAAGCGCGCAAAAGCCGTCCTGCCACTATTTGCGCCTGTTAGGATACGAGAAGCGGTTGGACCACAGAATATTCAGCAATATGTCCAGCAGTTTATCGCTCGCTTGGCCAGTGAAAAAGGTCGCGCTGTGAAGTCCGCATCATACCGTGTCGACATCCTCGATTTGGCCTTGCGACTCTCGATGGATGTCATGACAGGCTACATGTTCGATAAGTCGTACGGAGCGCTCAACGAGGCCGCCAACTTGGATACTCACTCACCACCAACGAAATTCTCGGAAAGTGCCTGGTTGCAAGCTATCGCAGCTTTTGGATATTATTCCATGTTTCCAAATTGGCTGTTTTCGAGGATTTTGTCTCTCCATGTCGCCATTCAGGATCGTCATTGGGGGGCTTCAATGCGTCGCGTTGATCAATTCGCAAGATCGATCGTTGGGGAAGAGGAGAAGTCGGAACCCACTACCTTAACACACACTTACCACGGTCGTCTCCGCACGGCTGAAGCGACGGAAGACGAGGTCATTGGTATCTGTGAAGGGTCACTATTTGCTGGAACCAGTTCAACCGGTCAGACGCTGGCGACTATCTTGTTCCATCTTGTCCGCCAGGCGCATGTCCGCAAGCGCCTTCACCAAGAATTAGACAAATCGAGCTCATCTGACCTGGAAAGCCTTCCGTATTTGCGAGGCGTGATTACTGAAGGCCTGCGACTCGCTATGACCAATCCTGCGCCTCTGACCAGGGCTGTGCCTGATGGCGGATGTCACATAGATTGCGTGTATCTTCCAGGTAGGGTCTCGGTCGGGGCATCGATATACGTCTTCCATCATGACCCTGATGCATTTCCTGATCCTTTTGCGTTCAGTCCCGAGCGATGGTTAGCTGATGAGACTGACTGCGAAACGCGCGAGCTGTGTTTCTTTCCCTTCGGTCTGGGATCGCGGTCGTGCATTGGGAGGAATCTGGCACTACAGGAATTGTACGAAGCTGTTGCTGCCACCGTGAAGTCTGGTGTCCTTGAAGGTGCCAGTACATGCGAGGAGAAGATTGTAGTAAACGGCTGCTTCAATGGAGAAGTCCAAGGCCATGCGATCGACATCCATTGGCCTATTAGGGAGAGTCGGAGCAGCAAGGTTTGCATGTAAATTCAATTCTCGACCCGATCGGGAAACAGCCTCACCGGGAGCTGCGGATGCCATCATGGATGCAAATTTCTACTCTCACATCATAAATGGTTTCTCTCTTCAATCGCTTTCTTCACGTTTGTCTTCTGGCCCCTTGATAATTTGCTGAGACTTTACTCAAAACACAAACCTTCCGCGATGCCACTCGTTCACCTCCCACCTGAGTTGGTCCCAATAATTGCGGGGCACTTGAAAAGCGAAACCGACCTCAACTGCTTCGCTCGGACCAGCCAATGTCTATATAGCTGGGTCAACCCATGTCTATATCAATGCGCGGTGCGGAACATGGGCGAAGCCCTTCTTCATTGGGCTGCTAGCAAAGGACAGCTACAAACCCTCCTGAAGCTACTAGCCTTTGGAGCGAAACTACCAGCAAACACTCGGATCACTACAACAGATTCACACCCTATCTCTACAGCCGCCAAATATGGCCACGTAAACATCGTCCATGCTCTCTTGGATCTAGGAACAGATATAGATTATCCCGCTGGCGTTCATGGCGAAACACCGCTCATGATCGCTGTCCGTGAAGGGCACCTGCCTGTCGTCCGAATGTTACTCGAAAGGGGCGCAAATCCTACTCTTCCCACGAAGCTTGATCACACACCCTTAGAGGTAGCCGCGACTGCTGGAAGACTGCTTGTGGCTGAATGCCTCATCTCCCATGTGAAGGAGCTACCACACACTGCCGAGGTTGGTAGTCTTGGAAGGGCATTGTGCGCCGCTGCACGTAGCGGACAGGTCGATATGATGAAGATGTTGCTCCGCAATGGTGCACCTGTCAACTACATACGTCGCCAACAGCTTGAGACAGCCCTCATTAATGCCACACGGGCAGGAGATGTTGAAATTACCCGCTTACTGCTCGACCACGGTGCGGACCCGATGATTGGACTCGAGACATGGGATAGTCCGCCCCTGGTGTGTGCGGCCTGGCGTAACCACCAATCAATAGTCGAGATGCTAGTTGAATATGATCCTAGGGTGAAGCGCCACTTTGCGGACGCTATGGTTGAGGCTGCTAATATGGGATTAGAGGATATGACGAATTACTTTTTGCTGAAAGGTGCAAATCCCGATCACCTAAGGAGTGGGGATCGAACGCCTCTGTCTTGCGCTGCCCAGCATGGTCATGGAAGCGTTGCCAAAGTCCTACTCGCAGCCGGGGCGGACATTAAAGCCAGCGATGGTCATGGACGTACGCCTGATTGGTATGCCTCATGGCTTGGTTGTCCCGAAGTGCTAGCACTGTTCCGAGAACACATGCTGCCTAGTGCCTGTCAAAAATAAATGGGCAATACACTAGTCAAAAGAGGGGGGGGGTGGGAATGATAAGATTATGTCGCCATTTACTGCATCGTACGAAACGACGCAGGAATCATCACAAAGCCACACATTGACCTTCCTTATCCAGCATAGCTCATCCTGAGCATACGACGAGACGAAATGCAGGCATATACAGAAGATTCATGTCAATATCTCTCCGGTGCCTTGTTGTTAGACGTCAGTTGTTACATGTCATAACACCTAAAATATGTATTATATCGCTCAAAATGGACTAACTTGAGAGTCATGGGGAAAGCTGCATTCAAGCACACCGAGAGAAAATCGAGCTGCATGACAGAAGATGACGACTGAACTAGATCAAACCGTGCTTGCAGAGGAGCAGCGTAGTCTTTCCTCTACTTACTATTGGTTTTGTGGTTCACTTCAGCAGGTATTCAACAACACTTACCTGTCACTCCGGCACTTATCATGCGAATCACTTTTACCATTCTTGGTGCATACTGCATGATGTTAGTGACCGAGTCATACATGTCCCCGGGGAGGCCATGCCGCAAAGAGGAAGTACGATGTATGCAGTCGATTGAAAGCCTTTTCACCTCTTTATCGGTACTGAGAAATCACGCTAAATCCGGGATTAAACTTCCACTGTAAACTTTTCGGGTCTAGAACCTTTCCCTTTGATGCATGTGCTGGTGCACACGAGCTATCTTGCAGACCATACCCCTGCACTCCGGAAAACTCTTCTGGTCATGCATCGGGAGTCGCATTCGATGCTCAATCCCCAGCTGCAACGTGTCCGGCATTGCAAAGAGTGGGAAAGCCAAGATAACAAAGGCTCGGGAACCAGGTCTCCGGCGGCTATCATAACCCTATCTGGTTAATCTTCCCTATGCTGATGAGTGACTCAATGATGAAGTTGATAGCTCATCCATGCCCCTCTTTGTGTTGCTTCGGCATTCTCCGCACTCAGCCTAAACCCGGATGCAATCCTGGTCCTGACACAGGCAATTAATAATGCGGATGGATTTATTTCAACCTCATCCTCCAGGCTGGTAACGCCCACCAGATCGGCCTCATTGATAATTGATCAACCACCACCATGTCCTTAGTGCAGGCCCTTCACTACGAGGTTACGGCTCCTGCGCCGTCGTTGTCGCATCCAGCAGTCCCGTCACCTCTTCATTCTATTCCCCAAACTCCTGCAGATGACACTCAAGACCCGCTCAATGGCCCTCTCCAGCAGAGCGTGGCGCCCACGACCGGCCAGGCAGTTTTTGAGCGGGCGCCTTCAGTCCAAATCACCCAATCCCGTCGGTTGGTAATCACCGTGCTGCTGCTCCTGGCCAACCTTGTGCAGGTATCGTATCCATCCATTCATAAATCTCCCAATGCTAAGGGCTGCCAGATGACTGTGAGTTTTGCTGGGATCGCGGGTGGAACCTTGCTAGGAGAGTCTCTGGGTGGTCAGGAAAGCTCTGCCACATGGGTTGGCGCAAGTTATGCGTTAGTAGCAGCTGGAGCAACAGGAGGATCATCTTGCTCACACTAACTCTGTATAGAATGACCCAAGGGACCTTCGTTCTCATGAGCGGGCGATTGGGCGACGTCTACGGCCATCGAGAGCTTCTGCTGGCGGGCG